GCTCCCACCACCACGACATTAAAAAGTCTGCATTGGTTGCTCTTAAAGCGGCAAGATTAGCGGTGAAGAGTGCAGGTGGAAAACATAAAGTTCGACTACCGAGAATAATTCCGATCGAAGGAAAATCTGGGGGATTCCTACCCTTGATCCCCCTTTTCGCCGGATTAAGTGCCTTGGGGGCGCTCGTAGGGGGAGCTGCAGGTGTGGCCAAAACGGTCGTTGATGCCAAGAATGCACAAAAGAAATTGGAGGAAGACCATCGCCATAACAAAGCTATGGAGTCTTTGGGCAAAGGATTGTATTTGAGAAAAAATGCTAAAGGTGGTTATGGGTTGTACCTCAAAAAAAAAACTCAAAAAAACTAAACATCAAGCTACCCAAGAAAGCGCTTTATGATTATGAAATAAAGCAATATGCGAAGCTCTTGAACATACCTCATTTCCGAGGTGTCTTCATGCGTGACACTTTACCACGAGACGGTCCACGTAAAAGAGAATGCGCCGTCGTGAACTTAGATATTTCACAAAACAACGGAACTCATTGGGTAGCTTATAAAAAGATAAACAACAACGTTGAGTATTTCGATTCATTTGGTAACCTGAAGCCTCCACAGGAACTTGTTCGATATCTGAAAAACGCTAAAATTTTCTACAACAACGATCCTTACCAAACTTATAATCAAGTTAATTGCGGACAATTGTGTTTGAAATTTCTAAACAATAACAACAACAACAACGATGGATAATAAAACATTATCGGAATTTACATTAGAAGAGTTTGAGAAGAATATTCCGCCGCTGGAATATTTAATAAGCAATGTGAGACCTGCAGAATTATTGAGTATATGGCACAAACTGCCTGCAGAATACACATCCAATTTTGATCTTCAAATACGACTTCCATGCTATGTTCACTACAACAGACCTGATTGGACAACACATTGGGATGGACCGGCTACTGCTCAAGCAAATTGTTATTTCTGTAAATTATCCATTCGAAAATAAACAAAAAAAAAAAACTTGAATAAATGCTTAGTACACAGCTATATTTTTTCATTCATCATGTCGCAGTTGTTGAGAGTCAATAGCACTACTCATATATTTTCATTTCGTCCTTCAACACCGATAGTGTTGGATCCGAAAAAAGATTATGAATTGGCGCTTAGGTCTTTTACTTCATACAATTCCATACCGAATATTGAAAAAGGAGATAAATTTTATTATATCGACCGGATAGGTGGTGGTGGTCAATTAAAAGTCATCGAGTTTCCGACAGGTTGTTATGAAATTACCGACATAGAAACATTTATACGAACGCAAATGAATCTTGAAAATGAAGTTGCTCCTCCGGATGATTATTTTTCTCTAAAACCTAACAATAATACACTGCAATGTGAAATCTTTAGCAAGTATTATAAAATAGTTTTTACAGAACCGAATAATCTTGGACATCTATTGGGATTCTCGAAAAAAGTTCTTAATCCTGGTCAAAAGCATTCTTCTGATTTACCTGTAAACATAATAAAAGTATCAACCATACACTTTGATGCTAACATTACGTCGGGAGCCTTTGACGGAGACACGCCTGCACACACGATCTACGAATTTGCTGTGACAGCCGATCCTGGATACGCTATAGTCGAAACACCTGTAAATTTACTATATCTACCTGTTATACCGAAACAAGAAATAACCAACATCACAGTGTTGGCTTTAGATCAAGACGGTCGTCCTGTAAACTTTCAAGGTGAAACTAGTACTCTTGTGTTGGAGTTGAGAGCGAAGCGCAGATGGGATTAGTGATTATAAGACATAGTGGTGCTTCCAAGGCAACTTCAGTATTACCCCAAGCACCTAAGCGACGACATCTACTACTAACTACATCAAATATCCTGTTTCTACGCTCACTTGGATATCATGTCAACAACAACAAGAATCATGTACAAAAAGAGAAAAACTGAGGAGGCAGCAGCAGCAGCATCACATACTTCTCCGATGTTTGATCTATATCGATCTCCAGCATTCGATGAATCTATTCGCAAGGCTGAGTATAGATCTTATACGCCGTTCATCAAGTCATTTAATTGTAATGATGTTGTGGAATTTAGCATCAATCAAGTAGATTCGTTCTTTGCAATGAACGCTTCCCTTCTATCTATCAAAGGAAAAGTTGAAATAACTGGAGGAGGAGGAGCAGGAGATGTATCTTTAGCTCCAAACTTTGGTGCCTTCCTATTTGACTCTTGCACTTACAGTGAATCCGCTAGAGAAGTTGAAACAGTACGTGATCCTGGTATTGTAAGTACTGTCCGAGCTTACGTATGTTACAGTGAGGAAGACTCAAATCATATGGCTATAGCTGGATGGAACTATCCTTCAACACCTATAATGGCGTCAACACATAACAAGTCTTTTAGCTTGCTAATGCCGCTTAAACATATTTTCAACATTTTCAATGATTATCCTATGATTACGTGTGGCAGACAAACTCTCAGATTTGTGAGAGCTAGAAACGATAACGATTGTATCATTATCAAGGAAAAAACTGGAACGACGACGACAGCGAAAATAACTATTGAAAGCATGGAACTGAAAATCAAACATATTTACCCGAGTGATGATGTGAAAGAACAACTTTTGAAAGCTATTCAAACTGATAAGCCGATACTTATACCGTTTAGAAAATGGGATCTGAATGAACTGCCTGCAATTACCGCAGATGCGAGAAGAGAAATATGGTCAGTTAAAACTAGCACCGCAATCGAAAGACCACGTTTCATTATAGTATGTTTCCAAACCGGTAAACGTGACGTCGCAACCTCAGACCCTACCCTGTTTGATCACGTGAATGCTGCTAGTATTCGAGTATCTTTAAATGGTGAATACTATCCCAACGAACGTATGCAATTGGACTTTGCAAACAATCACTTTACTGAAGCTCATTTCAACTATAGCGACTTTCAAACCAGCTATACAACTTCTTCTTCTCCTCTGAAGAGATGTCTTTTAGATTATACCGCTTTTAAAAATCGCGCTTTGTTTGTTATTGACTGTTCCAAACAAGAGGAAACCATGAAATCATCAACTGTTGATGTTAGATTGGATATCGAAGCCGATACTGGCTTTCCAACCAACACCAAGGCCTACTGCATCATTATACATGACTGCTTAATCGAGTACTTCCCCCTCACCGAAGTTATTAAAACCATCTCGTAAGCAACGAAGGACTCTCAGTTCCGCATCAGACATCATGAGGATCGCGTTTGTTGACATTCAAGGCTTTACAGTTGACGGATTATTCGTACCTAAAGAACTATGTATCGAAATTGGTTTCAAGAAAAGTCATTACATCTTTACACCTCCGCAACCTTTTTCTACATTAAATACTAAAGACAAGAAAACTGTCGCTTACTTGGAGAAAAATTTCCATGGGCTTAAATATTCTTCCGGCGACGTTAAATATTCCAAGTTAAATGAAATAATTAAAAATAAGGTGATATATGCGGCTGACTATGTCTACGTTCGTGGAGAACAGAAAGCAAACTTTTTACTCAAGAAATGTCACATTTTTGGTGTTTTTCCCAACATTATTGATGTTTGCAAGTATGATGGTACACCGTGTGCTACTGGAAACTTTGTTGCTGATTCCAATCCATGCCACACCAACGGACAATTTTCCTGTACCCAGAGAAATGTTGAACGTCTACGCCACTGGTTTTCAAATATCATATTACCTATGTAGTTTTTTTCTATTTTCAATAAAATATTAAACGTATTATTGTAGTTTTATTGAAAATACCTCTGGTTTGCGAAATAATTGTCAGAATGTCTATACTATTTTCATTTTGAACGGTATCATCCTGTATAATAATAACAGTACATCGTATACAGGTTATGAGACATTCTGACCGACCGACCGACCGACCAGAGGAGCCCACCACGCTATTTAGGTCACGCCTTGCTATATACGATTTAACGATATACCGTCGGTCCATCGATCCGCTATTTTTCGATGCACCCCTGTATACACGTTGCCCCCCGTAATCCACGCCAACACCAGACAGGTGCGACATCGGCGCCATCTATGCGCGAGATGCCCAACCCATCAATGGCAGCTGTCCAATGACGCATAGATTCCGTTAGGTTTGTACACCGCCAAACAAATCTACGCCATTTATGCGCGAGATGCTCAACCCATCAATGACAGGTGTCCAATGACGTATGACAGATGACGTGTAACGCCATCTATGCGTGAGATGCCCAATGACGCATGACAGGTGTCCAATGACACACAGATTCCGTTTGGTTTGACAGCGCCATCTAGCGGCGGAATCCCCAACTCATGAATACAGATTCCGTCCAACAACCTGTCAATGGCGCGCGACGCCAGCGCCTCTGGTGGCGGATTTTGGAAGTTTTGAGACCGAATCCCCATAGACCATCTACTAATCTGTGACTATGAACGAGGGGATGTTGTCTGGGCCGGCCGTTACTCTATTCTTGAGTTTTTTAGATGCAGCAATAATCTCATTTTCATGAATGTCATTGAAAGGTATGTTAACCTGACTAGTAGGATTCCTGCCTTCAATAAAATCATTACGAGTAGATGGATCAACAAAAACACTATTCAAAACATTTGCAAATGCATTGACAGCATGACTGAAAGATTTATATTTGGGTACGTAAATATCAAAGATAGAGTATAAAAATTTATAAAATTTAGCAATAGCTAAGTTAACATCTAAGAAGTTATCTAAAAAGCAAAAGTCTGCAATTGGCATTATACAACTCTGTAAAATTTGCTTTTCGGAAATTATACATGTTAATATCGCTAAATAAGGAAAATAAGGGAAAGAAGTATCGTGTATAACGATGAAAAAGGTTATACATAGTAGGCGCATAAATTCTCAAGCTCAAATATAAGAGCACTCTGCAACACGTTCTATGTTTGAAAAGGTTTCTTTTTATCCTTTGTAGACTGGTAATATTAAAATAAGAATATCCCATTCACATAAACTTTTATTTTATTTGCAACAACACTACACTCAATCTTCGAATCGTTGTAGAATGGTGAAGACTGTATACGCAGTTTTGATTATCTGTAATAGAGAAGAAGAATATAATGACTGAACAGCCATGTACGAAAACTATTTGTACCCTAATTTGTTAGACATATGTACCTTTCTCGCAAACTTTGAATGCATTATGGGCTATGAATGACCGGCAGGGGTATTACGTATCTTGAAAAGTGGCATTATGTCGGTTTTTTCGACATTACATAAGTTTTTTGTGACATTATACAGGGTGTAAACGTTTCATATAACATGGGGGTCAAAACGGCATTTTTTTTAGAGAAAATCAACTTTAAAGTAAAATAAAATCTGACAACGCCGCAATGCCAGACGCAAATTACGACGGAACGCAGTGTAAATTAAGATGGAGTTTGTTAATTTTTGGCTCTTAGGTATTATTTCATCATTTGATAATGTACCCGTAAAATGCAAACAATTAAAAAACAGACTCACCACTAGCTGTCTCAGCGCTTCACCTGGTGTGTGAAAGTTTATTGAACGTATTAAAAAAATCCACCTATACATAGGGAACGCAATTTTGATACATACATTGTTTTCTTTTTAAAACCCACACTGCACTTTTTGTATCTAATGAACGTGTTCAAAATTTCGTCCTCCACTTTCCACACAAGCTTCATTACGCCGAACCCAGCTTCTTCTTACTCTAGGTCCTCGAACGCGGGCGCGGTGGTAACTTCCCGTAATGCTTCTCAAAGTTTTGGAAAACGCACCTTATGTATTTATACACATGCAGGCCGATACACACAACCACCACCCTCATCCAGATGCGGTCTTGCTATTCAACCGGTTTTTTTATGTCACATTCTCGCCATTCTGCAACCAACAAAGCATGCTGGGGAACTGATTTGCAACATGGTTATTGAGCATGTAGTTGAGTTATTCATTCACAGATGACGCTATTGATGACGCCCACAGCGCTCACAGAGAGCAAATGCGCAATGAACAATTTGCACGCTAGGAATTATCTAGTTAGCAAGTCGCCATTTTCTCGGGTTTTTCTGACATTATATAGGTTTTCTTACGTAATAACCCTGCACGACTTCGACCAGAGAAGAACGGTTAATTATCATTCTTCGCTGTGATTATTGATAGTCCGATCAAAATACGCATATACATCAGTAATGGTGATTCTTAAGAATAAACGGAAGGACAATTTTTGTAGATAATTTCGTGGTCTACTAATTTTGTCTGACATATTTTTATAAGGAAACTTATCGCTTGGCTGAAGTCATATTAGCCATGTTTGACCTTGAGCCCATTTTTAATAATGTTGATACCAATTTTCAGCTTCACGTGAATTGTAAACTAACTTCTATTTTTTGGGCTGAGTTGTCCGGATTGTAAGACCATGCTTAAGCTAGGCTGTGCTAGTCACAGAACGCCATCGGAGTCGTTGGGGACTTCAAAACGCACATAGTGTTTTTGTTCGCATAGTGATTTGTCGGTTACTGTGTCTGGGATCCGGCAGTACGAACTTCGTCTATCCAGAGCACGAGTTCCCAACCAGGGGGCGCGCCTCCCAAGAGGGGCATAGAGAGGTGTTTAGGGGGAGGTAAGCGTTTGCATTTTAGAAAGAAAAAACAAAAAAATAAACAAACAGCATTAACAAATAACATTACAATGCAATGTTTAATTTACACGCATAAAATTGGAAATTAAATATCATATTCACTTATTATGTCAATCGCTGTTTCAAATCCCGACGTCGTCAATCGCAGTTTATACAAGTTTCGACAAGTCACAACATGAAATCCGCGCGCATTATGCCGATTTTTTTGACATTATGCTGTTTTTTTGACATTACGTAGGTTATTCTACAAGATGTTAACTTAGCACTTAGTGTACGTCATAGGGCTTGTTATCAATCTTTGGCTTTGATGTGATGTAAAATCTGCTTCTGAGATGGCATTGCTGAAGGTCTAGGCTATAAGTTGTATGTGTTGATGATAATTACATTGAGTTCTTGTCTTAAATATACTTAATTCAGATTCAAAGCTAGAAATTAGTAGCGCATCCACTTTTTCTTATCCATTCTGGAAATTACATATACAAATTTGCTGAATTTCAAAAATGAGAAAGATAAGAAATAATTATATTCACTGTACGTGGCGAAATAATTTTGAAACGACGTACTTTAAGTACCTAATATTGATTCCAAATGTATTTAAGATTACTATTATAATGTCAATATGCCTAGAAAAATATAAATCTCCCGGTGGCCAAAATACTGTTGAATACATTACGTTATTAAGATAAAATAATGGGCATATAATTGGTAATTACATGTAGTTAGTTTGCTTATTTATTTATCATGTATTTGTTTTATCTTCATGGCAGCGGAAAAAAGAAAGTTTTCCAAAGATTGGATTTACCTTCGTAGAAAAAGACGAGTTATAGTTGCCTCAGTGTGTGACATGTATGAAAGTTTTAAGTAATGATAGCATGAGGGCCAATCTCCTTGTAAGGCATTTGAAGCAACAACATCCTACTCTGGCTTTAAAGACGTAAGAGTCTTTTTCTTCTAAAGCAGAATCACTCAACCGATGAGACTTTGTAAATCGGGAAGCTAACACACAGGTGTATCGCAGCATCTCAAAGCTTCATTTGAAATAGCTTTTATGATAGCAAAGCAAAATAAACCTCATACTGTCGGTGAAGAATTAATAAAACCATGCGTCCTAAAAGCCACGCAGATAATTTTAGAAGAAGATGCAGAGCAAAAGATGAAGTCTATTTCTCTTTTGAATAACACAGAGAAGCGTAGAAACTATGACATTGCAGCAGACATAAAGTCACAAATAATTAACAAAGTAAAATTATCACCATTTTTTGCCATTAGTTGCGATGAATCCACCGACATCGTTAATTGTGCACAGTTAATAGTTTCTTTTCGTTACATCGGTGGAGATATCATTCAAAAAGAGATTTTATACTCCCAATCTTCGACAGAAGGTACTACATCTGAAGATATATTTAATTCAATATCAAATTTAATTGACAAAAATGATTTGGATTGGAAGAAATTCATTGGACTTTGCACAAGCGCGCACCTGCAATGATAGGTGTACGATCGGGCTTAGCTAAAAAGCTCAAGAAAAAAATCTCGCAATGGTTAGTCCACAATGTGTTATTCATCGGCAAGCTTTGGCTTTCAAAGTTTCTTTATTAGAATCAAAATAAAAGTCTTTGTAACTGTATAATGTGCGTTTTTTGTATACTAAGTGACATATAAATCCGAACTCCCAGTTTAAATGGTTTTATTTTAATAAAATTTTGTATAAGTACTTAATGAAGCATAATAAGTAAATGATAAAAATTTCAAAATGATTGCACTGCTTTAAAGCCCTTTGACCTTTAATAATGTGTGGATGCACCCTGATGTGCTACGCATTCTCCAACGCGCCTAGGCATGCTTCTGATCAGGTGGTCAATGTCCTCCTGTGGTATCTCATTCCAGGCAACCACCAACTCCTCTCGAAGTGCTTCTAGTGATGAACATGTGTTTCAACAAAAAACTGTGGATTCCTCCTTTCACCACGTCGCCTTCTAACCCTGGCACGACCATCGTGCATGCCTAAACAAAATCGAGACTCGTCACTAAAGACAATACTGTTCCATTCCTGATCCCAGAGTGACCGTTGTCTGCACCACTCAAGGCGATTACGTCGGTGTTCTCGAGTTAAAGGGAGGACCCAGTGTGGCCAGTATGAAAACAAGCCAAAACTTCTCATTAGTCGGTAAACACTTCGCATGCCAATAGGTCTTCCGTGTTCTGCAAACGATTCATTTGCAATGGACCTGATAGTGGAGAAACGGCCCCTTAAGGCCAATAATCTTAGGCGGCGATCTTCACGGTCTGTTGTTCTACGGCGGCGTCCAGTGCCCCTTGCTCTTTGCGTACGGCCTTCTCGAAGCCATGCCTGACAACACCTAACCACAGTGTCTACACTTCTTTGCACTCTAACTGCAATTGCCCGAAAAGAAAGTCCAGCTTCCCGAAGTCCCACTATACGGCCCCTATCAAACTCTCTAAGTTGACGAAATCGTACAGGTCTCCGTACTCTAGGCATCGTAACCGATCGTAAAGGATGTCAAGAACCAAAATCCGCCAACGTTGATTATTTACTGCGGCTGAAATATTCATTTTTAGAGCGTTAGTGAATTAAAAAAAAGCAGTATAAAAACCGGAATGTCCAACTGATAAGGCTGAAAATCTTTTCACTTGTTATTTACAGTAAGATAAATACCTTCACCAACTTTTATTAAAATAAAACCATTTAAACTGGGTGTTCAGATTTATATGTCACTTAGTACATTTATTGAAAAAGGCAAGGAGGCCACGAAAATATAATTTATAGTCCGGGGAGACTCAACAAAAAAAAAAGGTTGGGATTAGGATTTAGAGTATCAGAGTGAACGGAATTTTTGTGGTGGAAGTTGGACACGGCCACTGACAGATTGACAACTGCTGTACGGACAGGGCTTAGATGGAAAGGTGCTGCGCCATCTATTGACATAAAGCATGGCAAATAATGAGAACCACATGAATGTTTGATGTTCTGTGACTAGCACAGAATCATAGCCTAAGCGAGATCGTTATTTGAAAAAATTCAGTGAATTCCGAAGCCATTATGAGACTCCGTTTGAAGAATGTTTTACCGTGACAAAAACAGGTAGAGATATAGTAGTGACGCCACCTCCTAGACGCATCTCCATTGCATCCTTTGTAAATAGCATTTGAAGGCTTATCAGTTTCATATACGAGACATCGGAGCTGGTCCAGTCGGAGCTGTAGATTGCGAACGAGATCCCGTCACTCTGAAACGACAATAGTTATTTATGTATCTAGAGCGTATAGTGCCTGTTTATGGCTCGCGGTGACAGGCTAGAGCGCAAGGTGCAAAATGCTGCGACTTCTACCACGTCAAGGGAATGAGGAAAATGGGAAACCTACAGAAGGGAAAGATGGTCTGATCACACTGATAAACCCAGGATTTATGACATGGCAATTTTTGGGTGTATCTTATATATTTTGAGATCCTTAATCTAAAAACAGATTTTTCTATCACCCACATAATGTTAAGACCTGACTATTCCTGTTTATTATATGCGAGCTCTATGTTTAGAGAGCATGTTGCGTTTATTGGTAGACTAATAGCAGCCGAGTCAGTTACGTTTTCTGTGTTGAAGAGTACTGAGATGTTTTGAGTACTGTGAGTTTTTGTTAGAACGGTGTGTTTTTTTTAGTTTATTGTGACCGAAACTAGCTTTATGGATAATGCCTAGAACTTGTATAAACACAGTTTTTGTTATGTGTGCGGAGAGCTAACTTTTAAATCCCAAAAACGGACTTTTATTCCCCTTGTGTTGAAAGCATTCGAACTTTATTTTGGAATTAAGGTTGGCGACCAAGATAAACTATGGGCCTCTCATGTATGTGTTGTAAGACTTGTGTAACGTTGTTAACATGTTATTTGAGAGGCGACAATCGTAAAATGCCCTTTGCGGTACCAATGGTTTGGAGAAAAACGAGAGACCAGACTACTGATTGCTATTTTTGCCTCACAAATATTAAAGGTATTGGACCAAAATCGAAACATACTGTTAAGTATTTTAATTTACCATCTGCTTTGCACCCCGTTAAGCATAGTGATGAATTTTCTGTCCCAGTTACACCATGATGAAAAAGTCGGATCTACCGATTCTGAAAGTGATGGTACAGAAAGCGTAAAAGTTTCCAATCCTTCGTTTGACCTGCCAGGATGTTCAGCAGCGCCGCACTTGATCACACAGGGCGAACTTAATGACTTAGTTCGAGAGTTAAATCTGGCACAGTTCCAATCAGAACTTTTAGCTTCAAGATTAAAAGGATGGAGTCTTCTCCACGGTGAGGTTAACATTACTGTTTACCGAAAATGGCAACAAGACCTCACACACTGTTTCCGTCAAGAAAGGGAGTTGATATATTGCTCCGATGTCGACAATTTGTTTGACGCGTTAGGACAGAAACATGATCCAAATGATTGGCGCCTGTTCATTGATTCCTCTAAGCTTGGTTTAAAAGCGGTATTGGTTCACAACGGTAATAAATGTTCATCTGTACCTATAGCGCACGCAGTTCACATGAAGGAATCATATGAAAATATGCGAGTTCTGTTAGAGCATATTCGTTATAATGAATATGGATGGGCCATATGTGCAGATTTAAAGGTAATAGGCGCTTCTTCTTGGAATGCAATTGAGATATATCAATTATTGTTGTTTTCTTAGTGAATGGAACACTAGTCCGCGAGATTGTCATTATGATCAGAAGGAGTGGTGACTACGTCAGGTATCAACTCCGGGTCTCAAAAACATTGCTGATGAACCACTAATTGATCCCAAAACGTGTTGCTTTTACCTCTGCATATTAAGATGGGAAACAAAGCAGGGTTTCTGCATTTAAAACAAACATTTCCGAGACTTAGTGAGGCAAAAATTAAAGAGGGCATATTTGTGGGTCCGCAAATACGGAAAATCATGAAGGAAACTGAATTACGAGCTTGGAATGCTTTGAATCAAGTTTTTTAGGCAATGTGAAAGCGAACAAACAGTTATAAAGATATTGTGAGTGAACTAACTAATGCTTATAAAGAATGAAAATTCACTTTTTGGACTCTCATCTCGATTTTTTTCTGGAAATTTAGGTGCGGTCAGTGACGAACATGGTGAACGGTTTCACCAAGACATTTCTGCTATGGAAAAATGGTATCAAGGCAAATGGAGTGTCAATTTGCTTGCTGACTATTGCTGGACATTGTTAAGAGATACTTCAGGAGCAACCTATCGCCGTAAAACATCGACAACAACATTCTGAGATTAATGTTTATTTGAGTGTTTATTAGTACTCCTACACACATATCCTCATACTCGTATTTTACGAGTATAAGCAGCAACTAAAATGCATTATTGCAAGAAAACCGTGGGTGATCGAATGCTATTATCGACTTTTTGGGCACGTTTTACATAAGAACCAACTTGTTTTGTCCATGTCAAAAAAAATTATTCTAATTGTTTTCACCAGTGTCATCAGCCTAGCAAGAAAGGGGTATTTCACTGAGTGTAAGTACTCAAGAGGAATTTCCTTGCTCAAAACATTCTATAATGTGTTAGCGATAACAGCATTTGAGCTTCTTAGAGAATTGTTTGAAGGTAGAGCAAGATGGATTAGGACCCGGCCACTTGTCCATTGCATTTAGTATTGATTGAGGATGCATCGATTATCCGGCTCTACGCATACTTGTGTAAATCAAGAACTTGCAATAACACAGCGCAAAGCGTCATCTATGACACCAGAATCTACCACTGCGGAGAGCGCATGGATGCCATTAATTGGAACTGTTCGGAATCTCAGTTCACGTTTAATAGCCCAGTCGCCACGTGACCACCAGATGGCTGACGATTCTGGTTGTGAAGTAGACGTAGTCTACTTGCCACTGAATAAACTAATCATGATGCTTTCTTCCGGCTGAGCAAAAAGACAGCCAACCATGGACAGCTGCCTCGTACTTCTTAGCTACTCATCAGCATTGTCTAGGCTTGGTGTATTGTCTCTGGATGAACAAACGAAAGCATAGCAACTATGACACCGGAGGTACGGTCTATCGAAATAAGACAGTTCAAAGCGCCATCTATCACACCACAATTGACCATGCTGATTAGCAGCCAAGAAGCCCGAAACAACTGCCCATGCTTGACTGTCTTTTTGGTCGGACGGATGCCTTCCCCAAACCTTCCTGGTATACTCTCCAGCATATTATTGCACCTTCAAAAGAATAACTGAGATTAACGCATACCTTTGCCGGAATTAGGCGACTAATTTGGATGATTACTTAGTAAGTGACAGCAGTCTTTTGATTTTCTACAGTAAAAAAAGAATATGACAGAGTAAACACAATGCAGCAAAAGTCAAAAAGTAACGCGAATAACGAAAATCTCCCGCCCGGTCGTAAATTATTTTGATTATTTTTCCAATATATAAAAAATGAATTATCCCAAAATTACCTACGCAATGGGAAATTTTAAGTGGAAATGTATCGAAAATGTCCTTGTAGGCCCGCATCTATCGTTACGATTGATGAAATGTGCACTTGTCATGATGAAATGCATAAATATCGAACTATAAACTCGGGAAATATTCTACCGAATTACACTCGTCCATCAAAATAGACCTGATAATTTTCCATTCAAGCATGTTGTGAGTAAAAAGACGCATTCTGTTGTTTTATCGGTAGTTATCGGTGATTTTGATGCACTTGTGTAATTACTTCCGATAATCATACCTGATTCGTTACTTGGCTTCCACACCAACAGCAATACAATATTATTGATACAATTTCCGAAAGATAAGGGAACAAAAATGCTGCATCAGCATTTTTACCCTAAAATCAGGATAAGGTATAAAAATTTAATAACACTTCTGTATAAAATAATGCAGTCACATCATCAAAACACAAATATTCCTCAAGTACTTATAATACTACTAATACATGCGAAAGAGCTAAAATATAAATTACATCTCTAGTCTTTTATTGCCTTGTTTTAAAAATGATACCAAAAGAAGGATGCACCATAGAGATAAGACGATATACAGGGTGAGTTCTTAGTGCAGGTCGCTCGATATCTCCGTTATTATGCATGCTCTCCAAAAAAGTTCAATACAAAAATTTTATAATCCCATATTTTGTCCCCATCTTCTTACCTTTGCAGTTCCATGGATAGTTAATACAGGGTGGTCCGTAAAGCAAAATGAACTGTTTCTCAAAATTTTCAAATTGCACACATATTTTGATATTTGTTGATTCCCCTTTTCACAAAGTTATTTTCAATACGGGGCTTATACGATTAGTTTTTGGGTTACAAAATATAGGGGACACCTGCTTCGCCTTTCGACTTTACTATATAAAGTGAGGTGGGCTTAATTTGTAGTCGATTCACACAAACCCTATCCCCGCTACCAACTAAAAGTTGTTTTTTATTTTAAAAGATACTGTCATATTTTTCATTTACCTTGATATCTGATTTACAAAAAGGTTATCTGTAACTTAAAAACCAGTCGAATAAACGTTTATAGACATCGAGAATGTGTTACGGGTTTAATTTGAAATCATACTCTTACCTGTCCAAACCTTGTAGGAACTGCCGTGACCCTGCAATAATCGTAAACACTAAACAAGGGTAGACATATTTCTAGTTTAACTACCTGAAGATTTTCTCTATGGTTTATACGTAACTCTCCACCTATTATCTCATTTTGTAGTTGAGGCCCCTTCATCTGAAAATTGTTTACGTCTTCGTTTCTTTCCTAACCTCAATGTTACATTTTGACAAGTGTTCGGTCCTTTCAGTCCGGGAACAGTCCGCTGTTGTTCCATTGCTCCATTGCTCCTCTCGAAGTTTGTGTTCCGTGTCCAAGTTGAAGGAACTTCACTTTTTGGTCGTAGCTCTGTTGAGAAACACGCATTTTGCGGATCTTTACGCCAAATAAAGTCTAAGCGTTCTTCCTTTTTATGTCTCATATAATCCTACGGGGATGTGGGAAACGGGAGTCTTCGACGCTTTTACGGCGTTCTAGCCGACACTTTTAGGCCACACTCCAACAGAGGTAAGCAATTCGGCTTGCGTTAAAATGGAACCCAGTGCCATATTGGATTTTTGTTTCAGGCCTCTTTTTCATCTTCTTCCAACTTTTCGTCTTCTTCACCTTACGTTTTCTCCACCAAACTACTGCTGATACCTTCAGATGAAGCCCTGACGACCTTTCCACGTCCTGCCCTGTAATGAGAGTTCCAAGCAGCCCCTGAGGAAGGGAGCTGATTCAGCTGTTGCCAATGTCCACAGACGCCATGTGCTGAAACCCCGTCGAACTGCATCTATATACTTAAGCAGCTAATTTCACTTGATATGAATTATTTATCCTAACTTCACAGCTGGTGTGATCCTGAGGTATGCATACCCCCGGAAACTTGGTAAGTCACTAATGTTCGTTTTCATTTGTTGTTAGGTGATCGATTAATGTGATTAAAGTGAAATTTTGAATACTTGAAAATCCTGTCATAGTACCCTTCAGGTAGTTTGTTGCAAACTTTGTAATAGCACCCTTCAGGGGATTTATTAAAAATAGTTAAATAGATTTTGGGCAACCTCTGGAAATTGGCAATCTTTTCATTTCCCCCAGCGCCCTAATCCTCCAAATCAACAACGACTTCGAACCCCAGAAGTAACATTCATCGTGCAGGGAAGTGCATCTACAACCACCCCCCTGACACGAGGGTAACAAATGTGCAAATATACAGCGTGTTCCATTTACAACTTTTGAATTCTTGACCGCCCTGTAAAAGCTGAAAAAGTAAATATTCATATACTATACTCGCTACTAGCTCTAAGAGTTGCGGAGGTGTGAGCTGTCAAAATTGAGTTTGTCCTTCCATAGTTCATCCGATATTTCAGCAAACTGAAAATAAACCACCATTATATGAAATTCGTTTAGCTGAAAAGGCTTCTCCTAATCTGCAAAAAATAATGTAGGCATTCCATTGAAAAGTGATGTTTGGTTGACCACGTAGATAAAACTGACCAGATAGCGAAAAAATGAGGAACACACTCTTGACTATAGTTTTGTAATTAACTTTTTTAGATAGTATGCGCAATAACGGAGTTATCGACCACGCTAAAAACTCACCCTGTATCTTTCGTAAAATTAATATTCTCCTCAACTATCTAAGTTGTTACGGTCAGTAGTTTGTATCTATCAAGCTTACCTGCGTTAGTAGAGACATGGTAGTACAAATTACTAAAACAACCGCCAAGAAAACTATGGTCATCCCTATGCTACAGAATCGCTGTATCTTTTTACTTAATCTGGAATATAAAAACATGAGTATTAAACACTAAAATCATAGCAGGCATAGAAGTACTGCAATATCCTGTCGTATTGCATGCTCCGTCCACATTCCACACATCCCTGAAAGTAGGCAAAAGTATCGCACATTCTTCGAGGTGGTCAAAAGTATTATCCTCGAGGCTCTAGAAACTTGTCCCTGGAAGTCCCCCGAGGTATAAAACTAACCATGTAAGGTCGGGAAATCGCCAATTTTCTGGCCTGACGGAAACCAACTTTTATTGGGAAACGCGTAGGGAGAAAGTTTTTAGCGGCAATATAAGTCGTAGATTCCTACTTTGTAGTATAAGCCTCTAGTATCGTCATCCGGATTCCCTTCCTCAATCAGGAAAGCTTCCACAGTTTATTTGTGGGAAGAACTAACATCAAAAAATTAATTAACGTATCATCTTAAGCCTTTGCAAACAGATTCATGTTTTCAGCGTGGAGTCGTTCATTTTACATTATACATATAAGTTGGATTAGTACTAATGAATATCAAATGTCATACAGTGTGTTACCACCATTGTTATATAGCCCGTCACCTCATCTTTGGTCGTATAAAAGGCAACACTAGCTTCAAGCTAAATGACACAAATCAGACCCATATCGTCAATAGCGGCAGCCACTGGAAAAAAACTAAGCTACTTGTTAAGGGCTAAGAAGTAATTTTCTCCACATGACCTCTCCACTCTGTTCAAGGCCCAGGTAAGGCGAGTATTGCTCACATGTCTGGAAGTTTATATAAACATAGGTCGACAAACCTCCCCTAAGGGCGCTACGGTCTTTTAAAGGGGCTGAAGATGGTTTTTCCTTGATATTTCCGAAACGTCTTGAGATAAAGACATAAAATTTGGTGTTCTAGCCTAGTTTTTTATGCTGGATTTAAAAAATCAACAATTATAGACAGTTTTGTTTGGAAGCGTATGTAACAGGGACGGACTCAGGTTATTTGAGCCCCAAAATTTTTGTGTGATACTATTTTTGAAATTCAATTTTAGAATTTGCAAAATTTAGGGTTTTCTACATAAAAAAGGTACTCTTATTAAATATCGCTGAATCGTGCCATTTTTTAATAAAATCAAACTAAAGAATTTGTCACATGATAGGAAATGTACTGCGAATTTAAATGAATTGTTGAATAATTAGCCATTGAATCGGAAAAACTAATTTAATAATTGGTAAATATTACATACATACATATTTCTATTGCAACATAGCTAACATTTAGGCAAAAACAAAAGAAATAAATTTTTTCTACGAATGAAATTGAAATTTGTTTAAAAAAGAAGACATACAGTTGGATATACTTAAAACTAGCTTTACAATAAGTGTTCAAATAAATTCCCATTTTGTTGGATACAGAGTCTCGCTCGACGAACTAATGATTGCGTAGCCCGAAAAGTGGAAAACCTTTTTCTTCTTATTTGATTTGCAGCCTGATGGGTTCTTTGAAGTAAATCTTCTTGAGTATTTACTTCAGTCGAGTAAACTAGGTCTTTTAATGACCCCAAAATTAGAAATCCAATGGATTTAGGTCAGGTGAACGTGGTGGCCACGCTATAGGACCTCCTCAGCCTAACCACCTGTCTGGAAAATTGACATTCAACCAAAAACTTGGTTTGACAAAATCCGGTGAATATCAGTAAACATTCGACGACCACGTACTATGCGATTGGGAAATCTTCTTTGATATTCTCTTACGGCTGCCAATGCAAGACCCGTACACAAAATACATGTCAGTCAGTTCTCTGTCTGTAAATCTTGGCATTTTAAATCGATTTAATAAAAATTTTGATTTTAATCTAGTAATTTTACACTGCTAACAATGTCAGCTTAACGTCTAAATAAGTCATAAAAAATCAAAACAGCTTTTGTTTGCAGTCATGGCTAACTATGTATAATCAACAATTCAGTTAAATTCGCAGTACATTTCCTATCATGTGACAAAATTTTTAGTTTGATTTTGTTGAAAAGTGGCACAATTTATCGATGTTCAATAAGGGTACCTTTTTTATGTAGAAAACCCTAAATTTCAAAAATAGAATCACACAAAAATTTTGGGGCTAAAATAACCTGAGTCCGTCCCTGTTACATACGCTTCCAAACAAAACTGTCTAAAATTGTTAACATTTTTAAATCCAGCATAAAAAACTGGGCGAGAATACCGAATTTTATGTCTTTATCTCAACACATTTCGGAAATATTAAAGAAAAACCATCTTCAGGGGAGCCCCTTAGGGGAGGTTTGTGGACCCACGTTTATATAAACTTTTCTTCCTATTTTAAGCTCCAGAAACCGCTGGTAGAATATTGCACACTTTTATCGGGACACCCTGTATATTGGTGGCTATTCAGAGGAGGGTTGTTCGACTGATTAATGACGGTTCGGACAGAGACAGGCAGACAGTGGACGGCTATCTTGCTCTCTTCTTGCGCTAGGTCAACAGGCTTAGCTCATCAGAGCTCTCTTCCATGATATCGCCACGCGACGTGCCTGCCAGATAGACCCGCCTGACTTCGACCTCCCATATTAACCGTGTCGAACTTCGTACATCCAAACCTGGCCGATACGACCGCTCCTTCGTTATCACACTGTCAAGATTTTGGATTGTGGTAGCAGAGACATCATACAATAAACATATATTAAAACATATTTGTGGTTAGATTTCACAGACAATAGCGTTCTATTAACTTTCTTATTGCACAACCAATTTGTTTATTTTCAGAAATCAAATAAGCCAGACTAATAGTAGGCGCTTATTGAGTCAAAATATGATAGGAATACGCTCATAGCCTACCAAAACCTCGCATTCGTCGAAAATATTTTACGATTTTTTTTCATAATCACGCTCGTTAGACGCCCCCTAACATCTTTTGATTCATCAAGAGGTTGCCAGATGGCAACCTGAGGCAACCGACAGAGTTTTTTCAAGTTTTTTGGATCATTCTGAAGAAAAACGTTGACCCTTTTCAAGTTATCAGGAATACTGAAAATGTGTGAAAACTCATCCTGGCTTATAGGCCCATTCATTTATAGTGGATTTTCGATAAAACCGAATAACAGGCTTTCAGATTGAGCTAACCCCGAAATATTCTTCAAAGCTTTGCATTGGAAAGGTTGAACTTAAACAATTTTAAACATTAGTCTAATGATATTAGACGAAAATACCCCTGGTTTGCCTGAATAATTGTAAAGTCTGATTTTATTGCTGCAAGTTGTTCAAGGGGGTATTCAAAACATGGACGTATAAAATGGGTACACCAATTTTTGTGGGAAAACTTTTTATTCGAAAACAAAGAATGAGAAAACGTGTTTTTTGAGATTCAATCGAATGTGTTGGCAGTAACGAAAAAACTCTAAATATAAGATTTTTAGTTATTTATGAGACCACACGTAAAAAGATCCGACTCATGACAAAAAAGTTATGGTCGAAAACCGAGACAAACAGCGGATTTG